CGAGCCTGCAACCTATGCACGTGTCCTGACCAGGAATAGAACCGTGACCTCCTGGTTCATGGGTTGACGCTCAACCACTGAGCCACATGAGTCAAGCTTTTAGTAATTAAGCACATATAAGAAAAAAGTATATGTATTTGTCTCCCCAGAAGAAATGAGTTTAAAAGGTACAAGGGAGAAAAGGATCAGTGGTTAACTAGGTTAAGTGTTAATATACTTGGACAAAATTACTTTTTGTTTCAGAAAGAGGAAATGACACTTTACACAGCGATGTCAGTAATTCAAGAGTTGCAGCAAGTTAATATTATGAGAAAATGAATAAATAAGGTTAGTTATTTTATTTTTTAAAATATTATTTTTATTGATTTCAGAGAGGAAGGGAGAGGGAGGGAGAGAGAAACATCGATGAGAGAATCATTGATCTGCTGCCTCCTGCACGCCCTCACTGGGGATCGAACCTGCAACCTGGGCAAGAACCCTGATGGGGAATTGAACTGCGACCTCGTTGTTCATAGGTCAATGCTCAACCACTAAGCCACACCATCCCAGCAGGTTAGCTATTTCAATTCGTACTAAATTTTCATTTATTGATTGCTAAGCCCTTCTATAAGTTCTAATAAGGCCAAAAACAAAAGTCAAATTATTTATTCATTTACAATAACAATGAAACAAACAAAAAACCCTCTACCTGGAATTCTCATTATCCTTCACTGACAGTTTGATTATTGAACCTAATGAGTTCTAATGATTAAACTTAAATATCAAAAACCAGACCTACAAAAGTGCTCTATAATTAACATGTTCCACAAACGAATATGTAGGCAGTCATTTTTTAAATAACATAATTACTTAGTGTAACAACACTGATGCAGTCATGGACTTTTCTCAAACTGTTTTTAACAGTGTAAATCCCAGATAATCTTCTACTGCTACAACTGTCTCACCTAAGAGGCAGTGGATAGGAAATGACAGCCTTTTCCATAAATCTACCTTGGAAACCTTGCTAACAGGTTTTCAGTTCAGCTTAGTCTGCTGCTGTAAGTGGGCTTCTTCCACCTTAGCATTAACCCTGAGTTCGTAAGAAACACACACACACACACACACACGCCTCTTCCAGTATGTACTTATAAACAAAAAGCAAGAGTATTAGAAAATTCTTACCAGAAAGATCCACCACTGCCTCATGACTGGAAATAGCTCCTTTCTCAATAAAAAGATCTCGAAAATATTCACTATTAGCTGACAAAACAGATTTATGAGCTTTGTACTCTTCTCCTTCGATTAACAAAGTAACATCACAGAACTGGTTGGAGAGTCTCTGTTCATTCAGTTGCTTTAACACAGCCTGACAATGTTTTGGAGAAGAACGTTTCACCACTCCTTTGGTGTCAACCTATCAAAATAAGTGTGAGACCAAGAGTTGTATCATATATCATCTGTATGTCTACCCTTAACAGAATTTAAGACAAGACACATCCTTCCCTTTTAAAAGATACCACTAATTAAGAAAGAAATAGCTTGATATTCTTTATTATCTATGTATTTAAATGAAAAGATATGTTGTTCTCACTCTCTTCTGCAATGTTCATTCTACTTGACCCACTGAAAGCCTGCATCTCACTTCTTACTAGCCTGAAATCTGATGATATATGAAACTAATGCAGGCAAAAAACAAAAACCTAGCCAGCTTAATTTCACCTTGCTGCGTGGCCCAGAGTCTGCTTCCAGAGTGTATTCTGTCTGTCTATACACCATTAAAAAAGAGAGGAGTAATTAACAAGTTACATTCTGAAGAGAACAACAGGAATATTTATGCTGAATGAAGAGGCAATATTAGCATACTTCTAGTGTATACAACAACATAGTGCATTACCCAGTGGTTCTCAACCTTCTGGCCCTTTAAATACAGTTCCTCATGTTGTGACCCAACCATAAAATTATTTTCGTTGCTACTTCATAACTGTAATGTTGCTACTGTTATGAATCATAATGTAAATACCTGATATGCAGGATGGTCTTAGGCGACCCCTGTGAAAGGGTCGTTCGACTGCCAAAGGGGTCACGAACCACAGGTTGAGAACCCCTGCAGACCTAGACCTGCTTAAATCTTCAATGTCAATGCCAATACTCAAGCAGTTTTAGTAGTTTAAGAAAAAATTCACAAAGCCTACAAACACTAATACGCTAGTTACACATGTTAAAGCTGAATGAAAAGTTCCACTTACAAATACAAGTTCATGTTTAGATATTGGCTTCTTTTTTGCAGGCTTGGAGGCTGTAGTTGGGGTTGAAGTAAAGTTGCTCAGGTCATCCTCTGATTCATTACTTTCTTCTCCAGATTCAAGGTCTAGTCCTAATTCTTCCAACATTTCTGAAGTATCTGATATTGGACGGGAGCGATCTAGTTTCTCCTGGCATTTGCTACACTGTTTAATGTAATCTTTGACTTGCTTTAATATACCTACAATAAAAATAAAAATTAACAAGTCAACTGTAATACTGTTCTTATTTAAAAATTGAAAAATGTATTATATTGGTGATTATTTAGTCTGTGTATGCTTATGTATCTTCCAGTGCATGCATATGTGTAGACACAAACATGCCCCATTAAGTACACAGAGTTCTTTAGAATTTAAGATACATTTTTTCAAAGATATAAGGTTACAAACAATGGTTTCTTTCCATGCTGAAGTAGACTGTTGTTTATTTCTAGTTATTCACTTCCCCATCACTATGTAGCACTGCCCATTTTCAAGTGAGCTGCTACTTATTCATGCATTAGGAGCTACATGAAACTGCTAATATTCAACTGTTTTTGACCTTCATAAACAGTAATATAATGTGGCTCAAGCTAATACTTCTTCACCTTACTAACATCAGGTTTGACCATGCAATTTGATTTGGTCAATGGATATGATATGTGCCATGTCTCATTAGAAGCTTAAGAGGCACTGTTGCCCAGCCGGTGTGGCTCAATGTTTCACGTCCACCTATAAACCAGGTCACAATTCGATTCCCAGTCAGGGCACATGCTCAGGTTGTGGACTCAATCCCCAGTTGAGGGCCTGCAGGAGGCAGCCGATCAATGATTCTCTCTCATCATTGATGTTTCTATCTCTCTCTCCCTCTCCCTTCCTCTCTGAAATACTAAAAAAGAGAGAGAGAGAGAGAGAGAGAGAGAGAGAGACAGACAGACAGACACTGTTTCACCTCAGTTCTCTGAATTTCATCCCCTCTTAAAGAACATGTTCCAGATGGATGCTGTACTTTAGCTTGAACTGCAGATGAAAAAAGACAGGTAGGGCCCTGACCGGTTTGGCTCAGTGGATAGAGCGTTGGCCTGTGGACTGAAGGGTCCCAGGTTCGGTTCTGGTGAAGGGCATGTACCTTGGTTGTGGGCACATCCCCAGTAGGGGGTGTGCAGGAGGCAGCTGATCAATGTTTCTCTCTATCCCTCTCCCTCTCCCTTCCTCTCTGTAAAAAATCAATAAAATATATTTAAAAAAACAAAAAAAGACAGGTAGGGCCAATCTGCAACCTGAACAGGACTACAACCAAACCTTGCAATCATATTATAAAAGAAATCTCATGTTTTTGAAAGCTGTGACATTTTAGGTTTTCTTTTTTATTGTTGACACTATTACAGATGTACTTCCCTTTCCCACCCACTCGAGATTTTAAGTTTATCTGAAATAACAGCATACACAGCTAACAAAAGTTGAATGTACAAAAGGCACTCTCAAAACCCTATTTTGAATTTCAACTTCCAACCCAGCATGTTGGGGTGGGGGTAGGGGATGGGGAGCAGGGAGGAACACTTTTTATATATAGCAGGTCTTTGCCTTAAATGACATGTTTTGTTCAATGTTAGTTTGTTACAACATTGACAAGATGAATAGTTAAATAGGAACTTAACTTATTTATATCAATTAGCCAATGGTAAAATTGGTTGTTATACATCGTTTTGCTTAAAGTCACAACCTATCGAGGACATTAAATGAGGATGTACTGTATACACACACACACACACACACGCATCATCCTTATAAATTAGGACCAATTAATTCTCATTCTACAGACTGGGAGAATGAAGCCCTAAAAGAGGCAAGTAACTTGTCCAAAGTCACATCTAGTAAATTGCATGCTGGACCTCCAGAAGCCATGTAACCTTTCAGTATATTATACTACTTACCCAAGAACACATTTGTCCATCCCTGTGGCAGAAACTCCTTTCCTCACAATTCCCAAATAAAATGCAAATGAAAAGGCTCATTAATTAGCTAAAATGATACAGAGTTATATAATAAATTCCTGAAAAGAGTTTCAATATATCAAAATATACCAAGTTCTTTGCTTTCAACTTTCAGAGTAGTCAAGCAGTATTCCTCAAATTATATTATGTCCCATCCTTACTAGAAAGTACATAGTGGACTCAAAAATTCAAAAATTGTATTCTCATTTTAGATACACACAATGGATATTATTATACTAAAAAGCTCTGAGTTCTACAGTAAAAAAAAAACCTGTTTAACCTAGAAATTTGCTGAATTTGTTCATAGAATACAATTTTTTAGCAGATATAACTTGTAAAATAATGGATTAGGAGTAAATATAACTTTCATAAAAAAGGTATTTATGCTCTGGCCAGCTTGGCTCAGTGGATAGAGCGTTGTTGGCCTGCAGACTGAAGACTCCCAGGTTTAATTCCAGTCAAGGGCATGTGCCCCGATTACTGGCTTGATCCCCAGTAGAGGTATTCAGGAGGCAGCTGATTCCTGTCATCATTGATGTTTCTCTCTCTCTCTCACTCACTCTCCCTTCCTCTCTGAAGTCAATAAAAATATATTTAAATAAATAAATAAATTAATTAATTAAATTAAAAAGGTAGTTACATGTGCATAGATTTAGAGAGCAACAGAGATTATATTCTAGCATCTGAAAATATTAAAGTCAATAGTATGTCTATACTTGTATGAGACATAAGTGGGTTAAAAAAAACAAAACAATGAAAAGCCTGGACAGATATATATTTTACATACAATTAAGAGGAAATGAATCCTAGCTGGTTTGACTGATTGGATAAAGTGTCAGCCTGAGAACTGAAGGGTGCTGGGTGAGATTCTCGATCCCTAGTAGTGGTGTGCAGGAGGCAGCTGATCAATGATTTGCTCTCATCATTGATGTTTCTATCTCTCTCTCCCTCTCCCTTCCTCTCTGAAATCAATAAAAATATATTTTAAAAAAAGAAATGAAGAAGGTGTTCATTATCTCTGTAAAAAAAAGATATTCATTCGCTACGTAAAACAAATGAGAATAAATGGGTTGGGATGATGAAAAATTTCTGAAGATGAATAGTTGTGATTACATAACAATTTGAATTAATGTCATTGAACTGCACACTTAAAAATGGCTAAAATGGTACATTTTATTTATTCATATTTTACTAAATAAGAAAAAGTAAATGGGTATGTGAATGGGAGAAGATGTAAGAGAAGATATACAAAGTGTCCCAAAAAAATGTATACACACTTTAACAGCTGATAGCTCAATTTTGAAAATGAAATATATTTTAATAAACACCACCTTTATAATTATTCAAAGCGTATATGTACATTTCTGGGGACATCTTATACATTTCTAACTAAAAAACATACGTAGAGAATAAGAAGTGCTGCTATACCCAGCTGGCATGGCTCAGTGGTTGAGCGTCCATCCATGAACCAGGACATCATGGTTCGGGTAAGATTCTGGGTCAGGGCACTTACCCAGGTTTCCGGCTTGATTCCCATTATGGGGCAAGCAGGAGGCAGCCGATCAGTGATTTTTCTCTCATTGATGTTTCTATCTCCCTCTCCCTTCATCTGTGAAATCAATAACAACATATTTAAAAAAGTGCTGCTATGGAAATTTCCATGTCCAAAATAAACAAAGAAGAGGCAGTTTTTCTAATCAATTTTGACTGTATTTCTAAACATTTTATGATTCTACACAATTTAGTACATTCTGCATACAGCACAGGTTTGACTATTCACTAGTTGAGTTCAAATGCCATTTGAGAAACTACACAAAAGCATTTGAACAAGGATGAAAAATAATAAATGCTGCAGGGGAAAATGGTATTAATGTATGATAGTAAAACAACTCTCTCCAAAAGCATCTTATTATGTTTTACAAGTCCTTTAACTTGAGTGTTAGTGTTTTGATGGGATCATTTTATTTATTTTTTTTAAATTCCTGTATTTTATTTTATTTTCACCTGAAGATATTTTCCCATTCATTTTTAGAGAGAGGGAAAGACAGCCAGAAATATCAATGTGAGAGAAACACATTATGCCTCCTGCACAAGCCCTGACCAGGGCCCAAGCCGGGGAGGAGCCTGAAACCGCTACCCTTCGGCCCAACAAGGTTCTGTCCACTGAGCAAACCCGGCTGGGGCTTGATGGGATGGATCATTTTAAAAATAACTTTCCAGATCCAGGGTTGATAAGCTGAAAGGATCTGACTCAAGTTAACCTCAAGAACCATCACTGTGTAAATATAGTTAATTTACTACTTAAGAGTGGGAATTGCTGCAAAGGGCTGAAATTACTTATGCAGAAAAATCTGAATCCTCTTACTAGCTTTGTGAGGACGGCCAAGTCCCCAAACCTCTGGGTGCCTGTGTTTAAATGTTACTATTTATAAGCACTTTGGACAGTGTCTGACAACACAGTAACTACTACACAAGCCTTTGGTAAATAACGCTCACTGGTCAACCTCTCTGGTACCAAGAAAAATAGTCCACATAAAACACCAAATTACCATCAAAGGGTTCTTTACTTAGTAAAGACTCAGAACAAAGTAAAATGAATGACCTTAGCGGGTAGTCCTCTAATAAGACAACTGGAGGAACAGTTTCTTACTCCAGAGCAGGGTTTCTCAACCTCTGCGGTGTTGACATTTGGGGCCAGATGGTTCTTTGGGGGGGGGGGGGG